TCCCTCCGCGCCCACCGCAGCTGCCTCTCCTCCCACTCCACCACCCGATCCTCCGACCACTCCCGCCGCCTCTCCCTCCTGAACTCCGCCTCCCGCCGCTTCCGCTCCCGCTCCGCCTCCCCCTTCTCCCGCCGGAACTCCCTCTCCCGCCGCCTCTCCTCGCGCTTCACGACCGCCTCCCTCAGCTCCACAACGGAGCCCACTCTCCTCACCTTCGACACCTCCTCCTCCTCCTCCTCGTCGCCATCACCATCGTCGTTATCGTTGTCATTATCATTGTCCTCATCGTCTTCCTCCTCTTCTTCGTCATCGGAATCAATCTCAAACCCTAATTTGGCGGGTTTGGGGGACTCGAGCAATTGGACGTCGCCGAAGACTTCTTTATACTTGAGGAAATTCTCCCAGTGGTTGGGACCGTCCTTCCAGTTGAAGTGGTGAGGGGAGAGGCGGATCTTCTGCTTGACGCCGAGGTACTGGTGGCGCATGTTCTGCACCTTGATGGAGACGTCGCGCCATGACCACTTGAAGGGGAAGGAGGCAGGGTCGCGGAGGTGGTGCACCGCGTTGACGTGCTCCGCCACCGGCTTGAACTTCTTCTCCCGTGTCTTGAGCTTGGCCAGCGTCCCCGAACGGAGGAGCTCCGAGTATTTGGAGAGTAGGGTTTGCTCTTCCACTTCCGACCACTTCTTACGCTTCATTTGGGGGTTGAAATTGAAATCAACGGCAACAACACTTGGTTTCGACCCTCGCCACTCGCCACTCGCCACACTCTTCCTACTTCCTACTTCCTACTTCCTACTTCCCACTTCCCACTTCCCACTTCCTACCCACCCGGAAACAAGTCTTTATTAGAAGAATGCTTTTTAGAATTAAAGATGAAGAGATATTTATTTTTGTTTCTTATCGATAAAGAGTTATTTATTTAAAATAATGAAATAAAATTAAATCATAATAATTTATTAATGTCTCTCATACCTCTCTTTAGTGATTTATAGGATCGCATAAAATGTTTGAGTTTTTTACAATCAATGTATTTTTTATTTTATTTTCTTTTAAAAAAAACTTTTTGAATGTTTTTAGATTATTAAGGTAATTATCAAATCATGCTTCGTAATTAAATTTTCACATGAAAATTATAGTTCTCAATACTTGTGTAAACCTTTTTCTTTTAAATTTCTTTAATAAAATAAACAATTTAATTTCTACTTTTTATAATGTATTTGTTTATTTAATTACTGTAAGTTGGTTTAACATAAAAAAAATTATATTTAACTTAAAAAATATTTTTTTTTTCTTCATGAACAAACTAAATCTCTATCTAGAAAATCTTTCTAAACACCTAAAATCTCTTCAGGAGTTCCTTTAACTCCCTAAGTTTCTCAACAACTCCTCCAAAAATAACACATTACAGAATCAACACAACTTATAATTACTGATAAAATACAATAATTGACAAAAAAAAATTGTTATGCAATGATTTACATGTATTGCATAAAATGTTTGAGCATTGGTTATGATCATTATATTTTTTATTTTTTTTAACTTTTTGATTGTCTTTATACTATTAAAATAAATGTCAGTTATCAAATCATGTTTCATAATTATTTTTTCACATGACAATTATAGTTTTTCAATGTTCTTGAGTTGATCTTTATGAGTTCATTTGTGCAAACTTTTTTCTTTTAAAAAATGTTTTTAATAAAATATAATTTTTTATCTTTTATGATGTGTTTGTCTACTTAATCAGAAAGATTTTTAATTTACTTATAAAGAGTGTATTAATCATAACTTTGTTCACAATTTTGAAAAAAAAATATTTTAAAAAAAATTAAATAAATTTAGTTCTTAAAACCAATTTAAAATTAATTTAATTCTATAATTAGTTCTAAACTAATTATGAATCCATTTATAAAAGTAATTTGATTTTGAACCGATTTATTAACATGATTCAAATGATTCATAATTTGATTCAACTTGATAAAATGGTGTTGTGCAGTTTAATATAACTTTTTTAATAAATTAAATCACACACACCCGTAACATCAAATCCCATACATCAGTGCCTTAAGCAAAATGGAGAGAATATGCCAACTTCAAAGACATATTCGTGAGCTAGAACATTCACACACATTGGAGCTTTAGTGAATTATTGTTATGATAAAAGATTATTGACTAAAAACCTATTTTTGTCCTTTATAATAATTGTTTGTTTCAATTTAGTCTTATTTTTATTTTTGGTTTTAATTTGATCCTAAATTAATTAATTGGTTTCAATTTGGTCCCAAATAAATTAATTGGTTTCAATTTGAGACTTCCGTCTAAATTATTTAAACGGAGTTAACTATTGGCCACGTGGATGTCACGTAGATGCATAGGTGGATGCCACGTGGATGCCAATTTTTTTTTAAAACATCTAGAACCAGAACGGGTCATTCTGAAACCAGGGCCGTTCTGGTTTCAGACTGCTAAACATAAACAATCAATGATTATAGTTCACAATTGTGAATCATGGAAGGAAAAAGACCCAAGGTACAAAGCATTTCAAACATTACCCCCACTAACCATATGCAGGGACAGATCTAAGTTAATTATAGTGGGAGCACTTGCCCCCACTAAAAATTTTTTCATTCTTTTTTTTTATATATATAAAATATTAATAATTTTATAAAATATATATTATTAATTATATTTTATTTATGTTGTTATATCTAATATAATAAATATAATATTTTTTATATATTTTATTTTATTATTTAATTGTTTTTTATTTTGTGGTAAAATTATCTTCATTTTTAATGAAGAAAAAATTTACTTACTTCAAGAGTAAGTCTTGATAGATTTATTCTATTTAATAATTAATGTTCTATATCAAATTTTTAAGAATTTAATTGTTAAATTAAAAAGTTTTTCATGTATAGATCAAATTTATAAAAAATTTTAAAAAATTAAAAATCATATGATACTTCGTTAAATTAATTCAAATTAACATATAAAATATTTTTGTTTTAAATGAATGTAAAAATTTAGAGGACACTAAAAGAAAATAAATTAATAATTTTATTATGTTTATCCTATTAATTTTTATCATTTTATTCCTCTAATTTTAAATAAGTTGCAAAAAATTATAAAGTGACACTTAAATATTTCTTCAGACAGAAAGAGAAAAAGGAAAAATTATTACTCTATTTATAAGAATTGTATTTTATAAAAATAAGTAATTTTAAAATTTTTACCATAAAAAAATATTTTTCAAAATTATTATATTTTTTAATAAAATTAATAAAGAATATTTTATTCTCAATTTTGGAACGGCCCGTTTCAGATGCAAAATTAACACACCAAAAGTGCATCCATAACGGCCCGTTCTAGTTTCAGAACGGGCCGTTCTGGTTTCAGGTGTTTTCGCAAAGTTTGGCGTCCACGTGGTATCTACGTATGCATCTACGTGGCATCTACGTGACCAACAGTTAACTCCGTTTAAATAATTTGGACGGAAGTCCCAAATTAAAACCAATTAATTTATTTGGGACTAAATTGAAACCAAAAATAAAAATGGGACTAAATTAAAACAATCAATTATTATAAGGGACCAAAATAGGTTTTTAGCCAAGATTATTTTATGTTGGTACATGGTGATAATAAAAGAAAAAACAAACGACCAAAGCAACACTAAAAATGTAAGAACTTGACACTCATTACATTAGCTAGAAGACGTGCCTTAAGATCTTCTAGGACATGATGTATTTCTTGGAGCTTCACCCGAGTTGTTACCAAGCTTAGAGAAAAAGTTTGTACATTGATTTTTTTTTTCCTACAGGCAATGACATAGATGCACCTTCCAATTACGAGTGAACAAATCTTATATAGAAGTTATAGTGGTACTATACCTTTAATAGAAATTCACATCTTGATATGATAAATGAGATATTGAGTTTTTTTTTTTTTTTTTTGATATAAACTAGAAATACTTTTAAGAGTTTCTTTATTAAAAATAATTTTTTTTTTTTGGATATTATATGCAAAGAGTCTAACAGACAAATGACATCCTTATAACCTTTCTCTCAAGTCAAGCAGAGACCATGATAAGAATTAAATTTGACTCCAATCAAATGTTAACTTCATAAAAATATAGATGTTTGTTTTTTGTCAAATTAAATTGATTTCGTCTCCGAAAACTAAATGGTTTAAATCAACTTTTACATTAAGATGAAAATTGTTTACAACGTTTTACCTTAATCATACCTGCTTTTAAGGTGAAAAATCACATTCAAACATGAATAACCTTACCCTATATGTGTTCGGAATGACATTTTAAACATGCATTAGAGCATAAATAACATCAAAACTGACAATAGACGCATAAACTATAATCATTTACCTCTCTAGAACATGGATTAAATTGAACATAGATTAAATTTGACATGACAAAATTCATGACCAAAACAGTTTTATAAAATCAATTTCATTAAAAAAAATTAAAAAGCCTGAAACACAGAATTGGTCGGTTAAGCTGGTTATTGCTAATTTCATTAATTTGATTCTCTTTTCTTAAGAAATGTGTACCTTGCATGAAAATTTAACCATGGCGTATTTGCAATGCCAGTTCACTACCAATTTCTGGCGATTTGAGTCCCAAATTACCAGCCGATTGTCTTCACAAAATCCAAATCCACGAAAATTACCGTAAAACATGAAAATCCATAACTTTTCGTAGTGACAGTACTTCTAACTTGAAATTTAGATAAATACATCAAAATGGTCATGGATAAATTTAATAGAGATGTCACCTATTATAATGCAATTTATCTTTTTTTTTTCAGTTTTCGGGGAATTAAAAAAGGCAGGCCTGATAGGTTGCCCAAAAAATACGGGCTGATCCACAAGCCCGTAGCACGGATGCGGGCCGGAAGGTTTCAGGCCGAAAACTACACAGACTGTTGTTTCATAGCGGACCGTGCATTGCAAAAGCCGAAAAGAGGGAAATCATGAAGACAACAGAATTAAAGTAATTTATATATCTATCAAATATTAATCAAAAGTAACGTAGGTAACCACAACTAGGGGAAAAATAATACATTATAAATCTTCGGCTCAATACGTGCTTCGACAACAACTCAATCATATCATATCATATCTCAATATCGCACTGTATTTACAGAAGAAAATGATAAGCAAACCAGGAAATCATGAAGTCCGCTAACTGAAGTTAATGTGCGTGTCATGAAACAAGACCCTCCCGAGCGATACTGGTCACACGAAGAACAGCTTGAGCACTTAAAGGAGAAAGTTTTGACTGACAAAAGCTTTCCCAAGTACTCGTCTCTGGTTGCTCATTGACAGGATGCTCGTTGACAGAGTGCTCATTCACAGAATGCTCGTTGACAGGGTGCTCGTTGACAGGGTGCTCATTGACAGTAGCTGGCATGAGATCATGAAATTTCTCGTACACATTTTGAAGCTCAAGAAGTAGAGCTCGGGCTGCTTCCCTGGACTCAGGGAGCCGGTCACTCAACTGTGATGCAGCTACTTGGATCAATTTGTCAATACCATATGTCTTTATGCCTTCTGCACCCTATATAAATAAGGTTCAAGGATACAAAACAGCTAATGTTAATGCTCCACATCCAAGTTGCAAAAATAAACTGGCCATATTCATGATCCTTTCTTCTTGTTGAAGCCATGGATCTATTACCATAATTAATAAAATAAAAAAAAAGTAGCAATAATATACAAGTTGAGCTCTTTATGCAATATGCATAACTATCGAAGCAAAAAACCTAAAATAATTTTTAACAACATTATAGATAGATACATGAATACATGTTTTTACATCCATTCCTCAAATCATAGACATAGGAAGCATTGTTGAATAAATGTAGGACCAAAACAGAACCAATTCAATCAGATGTCCAAAATCAAGGGAGAGATTTTGGAATTTCGAAGTCAACAGTGAGGAAGGTTCTTTCCCTGCATCATTTATCTGCTTCCTAGAGATTTTTTTTCGTTTCTTTTCATTTTTCTGAAGAGAAAATGACTTTATAGCAAAAGTAATCAATGTCTTAAATGTCATCAATATTGGAAAAAATCATAAATGTACCCATACCAGTTGTGGAACACTTCTAGAAAAACACATTGATGCCTTTGCACGGATACGAGGATTCTTGTTCTTAAGGTACGGTTGCAATTTTGGCAATAACGAAATAGGGGAAATCCACGTAGTCATTGATATCAAGGCTCTTTCAGCTGCCTCACATACAAAACGTTTGTCCTGTGAAGCCTTGAGAAGAAGCTGTACTAGCTGCATTCACCATATATGTTTCACATAGAACATGTTAATTTACAAACAATATTATTAAGTGTATCATGAGATTCCATATTGCTTAAGTGAGGAAATTTATTTATAACTTGGTACAAATAACGCATGTTGACTTACCAGAGGGTCCAGTGAATCTATTATAAGATCATTATATGCACTGAAAATGTCAGCAGATGTCATAATGGCAGTTTTGCAAACAGCACTTCTTGGACTTTTCAGGGACTTTGCAATAGATGTGATCACATCTTCCCTGTTTACCAAATAATGTAGGATAATTTAATAAATCCAAATAAAAAAGCATAACATACTAATCAATGATTCAATGATATTTTTTATTTAAAAAACATTTCAATCAGAAAACAAGAAGTTTGATACTTACAACATATCAAGCATTGCTTCCTTATGAAATATAGATAACCGGCGTACATTATTTAGGGCTTCACAAACCAGGACCCAATCCTTTGAGTCAAGTCCATCTAAGAGGGTCTGTAACAAAAACAAATAATTATTTTCACATAATACAAGTGTAACAAAAAAAAATGAAAGTATGAAACACACAGTATTAAGCATTTAAGCTAGATCAATTTCAATGGTTGTCAACTCCAAACCCCAATCATCCCTCTACCCAAAAAGTGGATAAAATAATACCTTGAGACAAGTATCAATATCTTCTAGATCACTCAAGTTCTCAGATTCAATGTATTCTACTTCTGCATTTCCAATCTCCACACCAGAATTAGCAGTCACAGCCTGATTTCCATTAACAACTGGAGTAACCAAGGAGGAACAATTCTTTTTCTGATGCCGTTCTTCAATATTTTCATCAGCATTGTCAACAGAAGGCTTGGTTAAACACGCCTTACTGGAATCCTCATTCTTCTTTTCAGTTCCAGGGATCGTATTGAGATCCCTAAGAGCTTTCTCTGACATCCCTGTCAGCTATAGTCTGAGATCAAAAGGAGTACATTCAATCAAACTCAACAATAATAACTGTTTGAAACACCATTTAATTTCTGAAAATGAGTTCAATGTAAATAATGTATTTAATAACCAAAAACAAACTCTTAAGATCTGAACTTAACAACAAAGACATAGTCAGGTGCACTGCCATAACAACCCCTGGCCCTTAAAAAATCACACTCTATTACTCCATGGAACAGAAATGATTCTCTCTCTGTGTCACCCCTAATTTTCCATCCCTCCCCAAGCTCTGGCATTTGAACACTGTTTCTCTCCTTTCTTGTTCTCAATTCATTTATCCAAAAAAGAAAGAAAGAATTTCCGAAAAATCCGTTCTTGCAACACAACCAATTCCATTCTCAGGACTGAATTTCCGCTTCAAACGCGACACCAAGATACACTGCAAATCACCACACACAACTCTCTAGACACAAAATAAGAAAGCACCATTCCAAAAGTATACGCATGATTCATAGCAGTCAAGGCAGATAAACACCGCAAACTAAGGAGATCAAAACGGAACCAAAATCAGAATACAGCGCAGATAAAAGGTATAAACCAACAGATTCAATGCAAAATTGAAGCCGCGCAGCCAAATCCCCCAAAAAAAAATCCAAGAAACAACGAAACATAAAGCTAAACAGCAAGATCTCGTTACATGGTGCACTACACTCCCCGAATCTCCGCGAGCAAGCACTCGCATTACAATCCTGAACCCTAAGGTGACAGCATTCGATTCGAACAGAACGAAACAGTAATCGCAATTGCGCGTACGGATCACTTGAATTGCAGTGGCGAGCAGTGAGAGAGAGAGACAGAGAGAGAGAGAGAGGTTACCAGATGAAGAGAGAGAATGTGTGTGATCGGAGGAAAAATGCAGAGAATGCGATGCGACGAGTAGCTGAGTGTAGAGAGCGAGTTAGGAAGACTGGGTCAACTCAGTGTGAAGAACACGGAGAAGAAGAAAGAGAGAGATAATTTGTGTTTTTAGTAACCGACGAAGGAAGGGAAGAGACAATAGTCGCACACCCAAACGACGCCGTATAAGGGGAACTGGACCGGGGCCGGCAAAATAGGGGCCTCCAATAATAAATATACATTTGCATGTGACTGTGATAGCCACCGGAATCAGGTGAACCAAATTAATTCCACTTTTCTTTTTCTTTTTACTCATATTACCAATCACTCCCTTCTCTTTCGTAATTACATTATTGCTTTTTAACATTTTTTAATTTTTATTTTGATGCTAATTACTGATTTAATTACTACTAATATTCCTCTTTCGAATTTTGAATTTTGAATTTTGAATTTTGTTTTAATTATCGTTGTTTTTAAAGTTAGGTCGCCTGTTTCTCCAGCTTTCAATGACGCTCCAACACGAGAAAGGTGTAAGTTTTGAGTTTTGAATTGATGCTTTATCGTTTTAGAAAAGGATTAATTAATTGTGTTAAAATTTGTTAGGATTCGCCTTGCTGGTAGCCCTTGATTCGCAGCTTAATGGATATTCAAGTATTCATATTATGATTGATGAATATTCAAAACGCCTCATTAATTAGCTTTTCTAGAATATACAACTTCCCCATTTTTTGATATTCGACCTACATGCTTAATTGGTTGAGTCAAATAGTAACAAGAGCTAAAATAGTATATAGAAAATTTTTTGTTTTAATTTTGTTTTGTTGTGGTTCTAATTTTTATTAATAAAACATTTTATAGTTATTTTGGTTTTCTACTTGTGGTTTTTTATTATTTATGTTTTTTCTTATACTTTTATATTTTCTTCTCACATTTCTATTTTCTATAAATCAGTTTTCAAAAGTTGTTTAAGTAATTTTTTTTAAACCAATTAAAAAGGCAAAAACACAATCAAACCAACATACCTTATAATAAGCCTTTTCTTTTCTTTTAATCATTACATTTCGGCTTTAATTCCTATAGCCATTTAATTAACACGTTGCTTGCAAGGTAGTATGAAGTTTATTGGCCGTTGTCCGTATAATTAAAAAAAAAAATGAAATCCGATTGAAAAATTTAAATTAAACAAATTGACTTATAAATTTTTCAATTAAGTTCTTTATTCCTACTCTGCTTAGATTTGCCTTCAAACAGTCAAAGTATAGGATTAGTTTAAATTCATATTGTTATGCATGTGGGGAACAGTAGATCTCGATCATGGCTGCCCTTATTCTTGGTTGAAGTAATGAAATTAGTTAAAATTTGTTTGGATAAATTTTTCACAATATAAAAAAGTTAAATTAGTACTTTTATAAAATAAAACAAATTTATATTAATTCTAAGTTATGAAAGTTTCTTTTATTTTTTCATTTTTATAAATATTTGTAACATTTTAAAAATATATAATATTAAACTAAAATATTTTTTATAATGATATTATTAATATAAAGTATATAATGGGTTACTTTTAGTAAAATATTTTATAATTACATTATTTTTATTTATATAATTTTAATAAAAATCTTATTTGATACAATGATTTATTAAAAAAAGTACATGTCATTGATTATACTTGAAAAAAACAGCAGGACAAGCATGAGAAGGGTCGAGAACTTGCAAAATCAAGCTCGCAGGTGAATTATTTTTTTCTTTTTATCATGTGTCAGTGTGTTGTCAATCTTGTCCATTTCTTCGTCCCTCAGTGTTGTGGAAGTATTTGGTTATAACTCATACGATGTATGGAAACAAACTGGAAAACCTTTCTGTCAGTTCACATCTTTGGATTCATTCTTAAATCTAAACGTCTTCCTAGCAATGATTTTTAGATTTTAAAATTTTGACATTCATTTTGAAGAATCAACCCATGTTTCCAATAATGGATAATTAATAGCAAATTCATAATATGTGCAGACACTTATGCAAAGGAAAGGACACTTAATGACTACAAAAACGCCAGATATGATCTAATGATCCCCAACCAGTTACCAGTGTAGAGATTAGATTAATTTAAAGCCATGATATTCGTAGCACACTATCAAAGTTAAGAGCTCAAATATATAAGAAAGTGTAGATGCCAGTTTAAAATTATATTTAAAAAATATTTTTTTAATATAAAAATATTTTTTTAATATAAAAAAATAAAAATTTATGAGTATAATTTTTTTTCAATCCAACTTCTAAATTTGTAATATGGTTTTAACTGTAGGGGATGGGTTGGTGTCAGAATATATTATTGATCAAATATAGAAAATGGGGTTTATGATGTTGAAATAGTAATATAGCACCACAGGTTAAAAGCCATATTGAAAGTTAACTTTTTATCACCATTATAGTGTTCGGGTAGAAAATAAAGTGAATCGTTTTATGTTGAAATTTGATATGGAGTGTAAAATTTTTATTTTTTGTCCCTAGATAGACATTAACGGCATGTTTGTTTGGGGTGATTTTAATGAGAAAGAAGTAAAAATTCTAGAAGAAAGAAAATTAATTTTTTAGTTGTTTAGAAAAAAAATAAATAAATAAGTGAGACTAACGTTAAAAGTACATCTCTATGCAGTTGGGGAGATTTAGGGGAGAAAAGAACATCTTTTTTAAAACCCCTTAAATATTTGAATGATATATTTATCTTTCTATTGTGGACTATATAATATATTAATGAGGAATAATATATATTTTTAATACATTTATTTTTTCTTATCTTTTATTTATTTCATTTAAATAACTTTTTTTTTATGTATTCTCTCTTCTTTAAATTTTTCATCATCCAAACAAACCATAAATAAAGAGAAGTGTTAGTGATACTCTTTCTAACACTTATTTTTACCTATTAACACTCTATTGGTTATTAATTAAAATTTATTAAAATTATAAAAAATTATAGGTCTTGTATGTCATTTAATAAATTTTTCTCTTAATTTAATAGTAGAATTAAATAAAATTTATAATTTTAAACTAATAATAAAAAAATTAATAGCAAGAAAGTATTAAAATTATATTAATATTTCTATTAAATAAATAATGAAGTTTTTAGTTTAGAAAAAAAAAATTGATGAGTGGGACTAACATTCAAAATAAATCTATTTGTAATTGAAAAGATTTGGGGGAGAAAAGGATTTTTTACAACTCCTTAAATATTTAAATAATATATTTATCTATCTACTTTGAGCTACATAATATATTATTCAATGAGAAAAAAGAAAAAAAATAAAAAAAATATTAGT